CTATTTCTCCCGGCCCGGGAATCGAACCTGGGACCTCTGCCTGGCAGTCGGCATGGTAACCGTTTGGCCACGGAGGCAGGGTGTAAATATACAAAAATATATTACTTTGTTCATAAATAGGTTTATAATAACTGCTGCAGAATTTTTTCATCCGCCCTTTCTAGTAGTAATAAGCACCTACGACCCTTGTGAGTGAGCAAAGAAAGTGGTCCTATTTCATTCACTCCCATCGCCGAAATGGCCCGATTTGAAGAGAACTGCAACGAGTGACACGCTCAGTCACCACGGAACGGAGATCGCGCATTGTATCAAATACCTATGTCGTGATGTGAGTGACGGGGATAGCTATTGGAACGGAGGGACACCTATGTGACTTTGGAACGTCGTTCCTTCGGAACGAGTCACGGTGGTACTGTTTGACGGCGGATCATCGTGATTTTTTCATCGTGACGTTATTTATCACCCACCTCTAGTTAAATCCTTCAACTGGTTAAATTCGTCAACTAGTCGATCATTCAACTTAGGAATTTCGTTGTATTAACGTTTAACGCAACGATAATAAGACGGTTGATCAATTAAGTAGATTTTGAGGATATGTACTATTGTAGTTGTCATTTTACAAATATAATTTTATGTTACTTAAGTATAAGTTTAAGTAAAATAAAATTATATTTGTAAAATGAAAACTACAAATTGTGAATTGATTGCTCCTGTACCAAAATCGACGACAGAGATGCAAAAACCGACACATGCTTCCTTCGCTAATGGCTTTTCAAATTTGCCGTAGTAGATTTATAAGATAATTTTTCTTTGCATATATTACACAATGCTTTGCCACTGCTAGCATCTTTTTCAAAGTGATACCACAATTGACTTCGTCCCGACGACATAATTGCATAAAGTTCAATAAACTATTCCTACACCTATATTATTTTTAAACATATAGTTTAAAAACTATGTTTGTACATTTGTACAATAATTAAACAATAAATTGAAATAATAACGAGCTAAACTAATAATTTGTAATTATCACAACAAGTACATACGTAAACAATCGTGACCTCGCACCCAACTCATCACGAACTGTTATTTTATTACCAAAACAAAAGGAAGTACTTTTCAAAAAAATTGCGAAACAGACGTATTCTCTTAAATTCATGAAAGCGGTAATCGACGTTCTTAATACACAACAATAGAGGTAAATTCCGTTAGATTCACACGCGTTAAGATGCATTGCACGTCATGTTGGCAGTTCCGTTGCAAACTTCTCTATCGCACTCACGAATTAAACGCGTCGACGTATTTTACTATAATTCTAACATTCTACTATAGACTATAGTTGACAAATGTAACCAGTTAATCGAAAAACGATAAACAGTCGAAGCGTGAAACGGACGTCAACCGTCGATTCGACTAGTTCGTTCATTCAACGCTCATCGCTACTCCTTATAGATTTACGGCTCCCCACAATAGCCCAATTCATGAAACAGGCATCGAGGAAATACTTCGACTCTGCTCCTCACCACCCCAACCCCCTCGTGGTGGCTGCATCTTCTTATGACCCCCTCAGGGAACAACTCCACCGCGTAAATAGGACCCGTCGGCTAAGGGAAGTCCTCAACGACCCTGACGACCTTATCTATCACTCTCGCCACTTTGAAGGCCAACCAGATCGCTAGTCAGTCCCGTCCCTCACGCACCAACCGTCCTCGCCGGCGAGGTCGTCGAGCCCCTCATTCAGCACGTACCTTAGCCCTTCTGGCGGAAGTCTCCAGTAGCCCCCTGAGCCGAGGTCCGTGCCCACTTGGGCGCCCTCAGGCCCGCTACTTAGCTTTAAGTTTATTTTAGGGGTTATGAGCCTTCAGCTCGCCCTTTTTCTCCGGTGGCGCAGTAAAGGCCATCAGCGGCCAACTGCAAAATATCCATCATAAAAAAAAAATTGTTAGTGCCTTCTGCCGCTGTAGCATTTATATGGCACTGAACGGTACTCAAGTATTCAGACGATTCCGTCCTATTTCTGCTACTTTAAGGTTTGGCACTGAACTGTGTGCTTTCACGCTATTGAGACGTACTGTTGGGTCCATAACCCTGTAAATTTACGCGTTTTGATATTATAAAACATAAATCTTCAATCAAATAATTAAGTACCTCTTAATTTTTCATTCTTTTTTTTTTCAAGTCAAAATCGGACATTATAGGTATAATAGATAACTAATAAATATTTTGTTGAATCTAGAGTAGCTTTGTGACTTGAAGTAAATTAATTTGCTCTTGGATTAAATATTTCTGTCCTAAAACTAAAATACACTTTTAAGACGTTTTTTTTTTACTATTATCAAGTGTTAACGCCTGACGTTAAAGTGTTGGCAAAAGTGTGCATCAAAAATTGTACTATGAACAATTATCTTTTTTTTGACAACCTTCACTTCTCCACTAATTTTCTTAACGCAAGCATTGTTTAAATTTTAAAATTACAAAAACGCTGTATAAAGTGCCAATACAAGCTTAAACGAAGTTCGGGAGTTTCATTTGTGTACACCTGTGCATGAACATCAAGTAATTATTTTCTAGCGTCTATAGGGAAAGGATCGTTTTGTTGGAATTAATGAATTTGTCTTCTTAAAAATAATTTTGTCTTTTTCTAAGTAATCTGTTTTTACCGTGTACAACGGTGCCACACCGATATATGGAAGTGTTGAAGTTTTTGTACAGAAACGCTGCTATGTCAGTTCGACGCAAGGACCAAGTCACAAGGCCTATCCAATTGCAAAGAGGAGTGCGACAGGGAGACGTCATTTCTCCGAAACTCTTTACCACTGCATTGGAAGATGCCTTCAAGTTACTGAACTGGAAAGGATTCGGCATCAACATCAGTGGCGGGTACATCCATCACTCACCTTCCATTTGCTCACGATATCGTGGTCATGGCAGAATCGTTGGAAGAGCTTGGCACCATGCTCGGTAACCTCAATAGAGATTCCCAGCAGGTGGGTCTAAAAATGAACATGGACAAGACGAAACTTATGTCGAATGTCCATGGCGTACCCACCCCTATAACAGTGGGAACTCTCGAAGTTGTTGACGAGTATGTCTACCTCGGACAAACTGTCCAATTAGGCCGGCCAACTTCGAAAAAGAGGTCAATCGTCGAATCCGACTCGGTTGGGCAGCTTTCAGGAAGCTCCGGGATGTCTTCTCGTCCGCAATACCGCAGTCCTTGAAGACGAAAGTCTTGGAGCAGCGCGTGTTGCCAGCGATGACCTACGGCTCTGAGACGTGATCACTTACTTCATAAAAAAGCTCAAAGTCACTCAATGAGCTATGAAGCGACCAATGCTCGGCATTTCTCTACGTGATCGAATCAGAAATGAGGAGATCCGTAGAAGAACGAAAGTCACCGACATAGAAGGATTAGCAAGTTGAAGTGGCAGTGGGCAGGGCACATAGCTCGTAGAACTGACGGCCGTTGGGGCAGGAAGGTTCTTGAATGGAGACCACGAACTGGAAGGCGTTCAGTGGGACGGCCCCCTACTAGAGGGTACAGATGACCTGGTAAGGACGGCAGGTAACCGATGGATACACGTCGCGTCCGATCAGCTGGTCTAGAAATCTTTGGCCTATGTTCAGCAGTGGACGTCTTCCGGCTGATATGATGATGATTATGATGGAACCACCGTAACCGTAACTGGTGATCTTTACACGCAGATGTTAAACGATTTTTTCCTCGCAAGTTGCTGAATTGTTCGTCGTTGTGGTTCGAGCATTGTTTGTTGCAGGACGGAGTAACCGCTAACACAGCTCGGTCAAAGATGGACATTTTGAGAAACCAATTTCCGGGCCGTGTGCTCTCCCGTTTTGGAGTCTTTAACTGGCTGTCCAGATCGTCAGATCTAACGGCGCCTGACTTCATCCTTTGGGGCTTTTTGAAATCTCACGTTTACCACAACAAATCTCAAACCTTGCAAGTCTTGAAAGCTAACATTAACGAAGAAATCGCCAATTTCGAGACAGATGTTTTGTGAGCAAACATGCATCAACTCGAGAGGTGGTCATTTGACCAATATATTTTTTTCAATTTAGGTAATATCGTCAATTTTACATCTTCAAATAAAGTTTTCGTGAAAATAGAGCAATTTTTTTTCAGTTCTAACATAATAGATACTCGATAATACTTAAATCCGGCAACTTACTGTACTACCGGGAGGGCAACCAACAGCCCCTTGGCGGTGTCGGGTTTATCGTTCACAAGTCCCTTGTTATCAACGTGATTTCCATCGGAAGTGTGTGTGTATGACCAGGGTGGCATACCTGATACTCACAATATCAAAACGATATTCGTTGAATGTCATTCAGGTTTATGCTCCGACCTTGACACACCCAGATGACGAAGTGGAGGTTATGTATGAGATCTCAAAAGCCATGCATAGCTACAAAACCCAATACACGGTTGTGATGGGGGACTTCAATGCAAAGTTGGGAAAGCGTTGCGGTGATGAGCTGAGAGTTGGACAACGGAACGTCTGAGGCCGGATGTTGGTTGATTTCATGGAAAAGAAGAACCTCTATATGATGAACACCTTTTTCAGGAAACCTCCAACTAGAAAATGGACTTGGATGAGTCCGGACGGTAAAGTAAAAAATGTGATTGACTTTATCTTTAAATTGATTGATAATGAGTTATCGATAGATTATGGCACAACACTAAATAAGAAATCCGCCATTTGTAGCGTTCAATTTTTGTTTAAGTGAGTGCTTAGATATGCACGTTCATCCTGTAGTTAGGGCAGCTCCTTTCTTTATTTTTTTTCCATCTTCTAAGACCTAAGGTACCATTTTGAATATGCATTTGAAACAGACAATCGAGTCACACACATACCTTAAACTTTCCAACTTTCTTTTTTGTTACCTAATTTATGAAGTACCTACTTTCTTGCCCTTTAGTGGCTGTATTCAACCCTGAGCACACGTTTCTTTTAGAGAGTGGGCAGACAATTACATACCTGGAGTCCAACATAGAAAAGCTGTAATCAACGCCACTCTCTTGGAGGCAAAGAACGCCACTATGAAGCCTATGGACGACATCGCGTGTCGCGGGCTGCAGCAGCTCCTCGAATGATATCTAAAGTTTTAAGTAGCAGCAGTTCTTTCTTTCTTTCAGCAGGGCTTTCGAGGAAAGTTTATTTATAGTTCTAATGATACCAAATTAGGTACGATTTCTAATATACGATTACTTGTTTGCGTTGCAATCTCGGCCCATATTAAATTGATTGTTAACAGGTACAGTGCATTTATGTTCCGGCTAGCGCTGTTTGCCGATCATTAACTTCAACTTGTCTTTTGCATTGGAGAATATTGATTTTCATTATATATAGATTATGAACACAAAGATTCAAACTACAGTTGAGACAGTCCACTGCTTGTCGTTTACAACTAATAAAGTGCCCTAACCACAGATGCACGATGCACCTGCTTAACTACTACTAGGTACTTTTTTGGCACATTTTTTCGTTACCCACGTGAGCTGCTTCTTTGTGTCTTGTCGAGGTCAACAGTCCTATATTTTATTAGGAATTTAACGTGGCTAGCATTATTGAAAGGAAATAATGCAAAACAAAAACACCAAGGCAACTGTTTGTAATAATATATATTTTTTAAGTTTAACAGCCTATAAGTACCTAATCATTATTGTATTGTTTAATTGCTGTGCACGGGAGCCATACACACTTCGTACTGCGTGAAAAGACCGGTGTAGTTGACGAGGAAAAAGAGCAGCAACGAGCCGAGAGACGAGCCGATCTGCGTGACCACGCCCACCGCGCGCATTCCTCTTGCGCCCCCCACCCGTGCCCACACATACACCCACATGCGTGAGTACGACACCACCGCACTCACTATCACCCACGACACCACCTGCGACAACACACGTAAGTGTAAATTCATTGGGTTGTTTTTTCCCTCAGCTACTTCGACTTCCCGCATTCAATTTTTATGGGTCTGATGCAAATATTTACTAGTGAGAAATCTGGCCAACTTCCAAATGAGAAAAATATCCTCTAGAACTAAAACTGAGGACATACACTGATTACTATACGGTGTGAGAACATGATTCCTAAAAATTTTCACGATAGAAAAAAACATACCTTGAAATTTACATTTTTTTACAAAAAAAATTACAAAAAACTGCTGTATTCAATGGGTACTTTACATATACCAATGTTTTTTTAAACTATCAATTGAACTAAATAGAAGCCCTATACTATACGATATACATTTTTGAAATGGCTATAATTTCGTTTGTAAAAATAGAAATTCTGAAATAAAGCCTCTCACAAAGTGCTCTGCCGCGCGACCTACACGAAACGAACAGTATTAGTGCGGGAGAAATTTGAATTCGAACTGAGGTAGTAAATATTTAAAAAAAGGACCGCCAGCCGCGATTTATAAAAAGCACAATAGTATAGGCCATATTTTCAACTAAAGAAAGTATACATTTCTTCTACCGAAATAGTAAGGCCGGCACAACCTGTCGTCGGTGTCGTCGGCTGGCCGCCACAGGCAATACAAAATGTTACTTGCGTAGCTTTTCAGTGTTCTCAACGATAAGTTAACAAATCTATATTTGTTTGAAAGTAGGCAGCGGCTGAGCGACGCCGACGCGACGTCGAGCTGCGTAGCGCGAACTTTGGTGGTTGCTTTACAATAGAACACCCAGACCAATTTAAAAAAGTTCAATTCTTGAATTGGTCCTAACGGGAATCGAACCCGGGACCAAGAGCCGCGGAATTCACTCCGGGGCGCTACTCAGACCACCCAGGCCAAAACCACTATAGAAATGTTCATGTAATTGGTTTTTGTTCAAATAATTGTAATTTTTATTTATAGTCAATTAAGCTGATTTTTAAAGGTTTTTAAAAATTTCTCGAAAAATTCGAGTCTCGAGAAATCGGATGTGAGAATTCTCGAAACTCGAGAAAAAGTATGTCGAGAAATATACCCTAAAATCTACACAAATCAGATGCAAGTATGAGGGCAAACGGGGTTAAATACCCCGCATGCTTAGATTCTTACTAAACTACATCGGATTTCTAAAATAATCGCAGGAGTGGCGAAACGCCCTACGTAACACGATAATTAGATGTTTGTATTGTGTAGAGGTTATTTTTTTAACCCCAAGCAGTTATTAGTTCACTAACTTTTCCATTATGCCTCGAAAATGTAGATATGTGACTGTTCTATACGAAAATGAAGAGGATTAGATGAATATTAGTAGGCACTTACGATTAGAGTCACGCCCAACGCCGAGTGCTGCAGCGGTGGCGTAGGGCTGAGCAGCGCCGTGGCCAAAATGTATGTCAACGGTCCCAAGTTGAGCGCGAGGATGGCGGCGAGCGCTTTTGCAGGCATCGGCTGCAGCCACACGCCCGCCATGCACGCCGCCGGGTTCGCCATCGCACCTAACGTGACCGCCAGGTGGTACGCCTGCGTGCCGTATGGCATGCACGAGTATGACTGTACCGATGGCAGCACGCCGTTTGCGAATGCGTTCAGCACCGCCATTAGCACGAGCACGCCAAGCCAGCGCGGCGATAGAAGTGACTCGCGCAGCGCAGTCGCCTCCTCGTCCTTGTTGGCAACAGCCGGCATCACACGCTCGGAATCAAACCTCTTCCACCGATCAATGGCCGTAAAGCTGAACAGGCTGATGGCCGACAGTACAGTCAGTGCGAGCAGAAACACGGTGATGCCGAACCGCGGGTCTGGGTCCACTTGATGCACGGAGTCGTCGGGCCCCAGCACGCAGGTGGGTTCGCCGCCCACACCTTGTGCCAGCGCGATTATGCTCGGCAGGAAACCACTCAGACCTTCACCGATGAGGTACGTGACAAGGTAAACGTCACGGAAATGTCTTAAGTACGGATAAAACAGCACGGAGCTGGTGCAGCCAACGAGCGCGGCGAAGAAAGTTAGCGTGAGGAAAGCCAAGGAGCGGTCGGTGCTTCCGATGAGAACTGTTCGCGGGTATAGGAATGCGTTGAGCAGCAGCGCCAACGTACCGATCACTAGCAATCCGTAGATATATTGCGACTCTGCTGCGCGCGGTCGCAGTCGCTTCAGGAGTGCGAACAGCAGCAGCCCAATGTTAGCCAGCTGCACGGCCACCACCATGGAGGCGGGCAAAGCCCAGCCTTCGGGCAGTCGCTGCACGAGCAGTGGCAACTGAACATACAGACCGTTGACCCCGAGCCATGTACCCAGTCCCCACCCGATCATCAGCACGTCGAGAGCCGCGCGCCGCGGTGAGCCCCACATCTTGCTCGTTGCGTCTCCTCCACCTTGCAAAGGCTTGCGATCCTCCTCGTTCAACCTACGGTCGTAACAGGGGACTGGTAAACAAAATATTATTAAGACGTCGTGCGCCGTCGACACATCGGTAAACACTGATGCAGTTGAACAAATATATGAATACTAGGGATTATAATAGAACATATTTAAATTATAACAATCGTAAATATAAAATTCATAACGTGTACTCAGCAATGATCTCATCTTTAAATCGCACATGTAATGTTTCAAAAATATCTAAACCGACTAATTCAAAAGATTCTTCCCAGACAAGGATAACAGACTACTTTAAACATGTTAAGATAACTTGTAATAGTGGAAAGTATTGCGATTTGAATTACAGCGAAGGGAAATCAAACCATAGTTCTTTTCGTGAATAAAATTAAAGGAAGTTTTAAGGTTTTCCATATGAATATCCAGAGTATTCGCTCGAAACAATGAAATTGACATTTACATAGATTCGCTCGCAGATACGGCTCTGGATGTACTATGTTTCAGTGAAACGTTCCTAAAAAAATGGTGATCAGTCTTGTGTACACATAGAAAGTTATAAATTAGCGGAATATTTTTGCAGGAAAATCACAGACAGATAGTGGGTGATTTCAATATTAACCTTTTCCAAAAGGATAACCTTACGTCACGTTTCCTGGAAATCCTTACCATACATAAATTCAGATGCAGAGTTACTAAAGCTACACGTATTACATCGCATTCTCAGACTTGTATTGACAACATTGTTACAAATTTCAGTAAATGTAAAGCAGAAGTATTAAATCTGGGTATATCTGATCATACGGCACAAATGCTGCAATTTCCTTGTTCCGCTAGCTTTTCTGTCAGACATTGGTATGTTTATAGAAGAAAAATTAATAATTACATTGACATATTTATGAAATATATATCTCAAATCAAGTTCCATGAGGTATATATTTGAGCAAACTCATCCCAATGAGGCATATAATGTATTTATTTATATATTCAGAACTGTATATGATTTGTGTTTTCCAATAGAAAAATGTAAAGTGACCTTCAGAAAGAAACCACATTGGAAAGCAAAAGGTATTAAAATTTCTAGCAAACGCAAGCGTCAACTTTTCGTTGATATCCAGTAATATAGGTCCGATTCTACTATTTAACATTACAATAAATATAAAAAAATACTTAGATCCACTATACGATATTTTAAACGCAAAACGAACATAAATTACATAACCCAAAGCACAAATAAAACTAAAGCCACTTAGAATACAATTAAACAGAATACTACAACTACAAACGAAATACCGACAACAATCAAAAATTTACAAACCGATCACGGAAATATATCTGACCCTTCACAAATAGCTGAACATTTAAATATACATTATATTACACAAAGTTTTAATTCCAATTTTGTTAATAACTACAAATCTATCCAAGAACATGAAAGTAAGAGCGTATATTTGAATCCAGTTGATGAACAGGACGTTCGACATATAATTAAAGCTATTAAAAGTAAACGAAGTAGTGGTGACAATGGTATTTCAAACAAGTGATAAAGACTATTGTTGACATTATTATATTGCCGCTAGAACATATAATTAATTTAATGCTACAAACAGGCTACTTTCCTGATATAATGAAGATATCATTAATAAAACCTTTACATAAAAAAGGTTCCAAAGAAGTCTCAGAAAATTACAGGCCTATAGCTCGTCTTCCGAATTTCTCTAAAGTATTTGAGAAGGTTATCTACAAAAGAATAACAAACTTTTTAGATAAACGTGATATATTTAGTCAGTTTCAATTTGGATTTCGTAAAATGAGATCAACATCTCTATCCATTTTTACATTTTTACATAGTTTGTGGGAAGCTATGAATCTTAAAAATGACAGTATTGCACTTTTCTTGGACATGACAAAAGCGTTCGACTGTGTTATTATCTTGCTAAAACAACTTGACAAATGTGGTATTCGAGGCGTAGCAAATGACTTAATACGTAGTTACCTATCGGAACGTAAACAAGCACTATGTCTGACCGTATTTAGCAATAAATGCGTGCAAGAGGCCAGATCGACATATTTAAGAAATATATTGGGAGTGCCACAGGGAAGTGTACTGGGTCCTCTTCTCTATATTATATATATAAATGAACTGCCACGTCTTACTCAGTGTTATGCACGCTGTATACCTATTATGTTCGCTGACGATGTCACAATATTATTTACTAATAACGGAAAAACAAAAATTGACAAACATAAACAATACATTGAACGGTCTTATTACCTGGCATAAATCACTAAATTTAAAAATAAATAATTCTAAAACAAAATATGTGCAGTTTGGTACAAAAAAATTGACTAGACTATATAGATTTACACATAACTTATGAAAATGACGTCATTGATGAGGTAAACAATACTAAATTTCTTGACATTAATATAGATAAAAATTTAAATTGGAAACATTACATAGATGTGCTAAATAACAAGCTTGGTAGTTATTGCTAGGCTTTATCTGTATTAGTCGATGTAGTGTCGGTTGAAGTTGCAAAAAACGCATATTACGGGAACGTATACCCGTTATTAATGTATGGAGTAATTTTTTGGGGAAACTCTGTCAATGCGGTTAAAATATTCACAATACAAAAACGATGCTTACGCATAATCTATAGTAAACCCAGTGACCCTAAGAAGTCTGTACAAAGAAAAGGGTTTCCTGACTTTCAACAGGAATATACATTTTGGAAATATGTCTTTTTGTACGTAATCGCAGTAACTTCTTTACTAAAATATCTAATGTACACTCCGTTAACGTCAGAAACAAGGACCGTCTTGTCCTCCCTAAAATAAACAGCACGATCTTTGACCGCAGCACCTATGTAACAGCGATTAGACTTTATAACAGACTTCCAATGGAAATGAAATGTTTAAATGGTGATAAATTTAAAGCGTGTTTAAAAAATGGTTAATTGACAAAGTATTTTACAATCTTAACGAATTTTATATAAGGACATCAAATATTTGACAATTGTATAACTAACTTAATTATAATTTTAATTTTTGACATTTAAGTTGTAATAAATTTTAATTGAATTGTAATTTTAAGACATTGTACATTGACTTACTAATAACATTGTACGCCTGATTTGGGTAAGAATTGTAGATCTAATCACTTGTAAGTAACACCTGTATTTTACCAATTCATACAATAAATATTTCTGATTTCTGACAAAGTATTTGCGATGAGGGCGATCAATTAATTAATGGTTGTACGAGCTGCTTGTCTCGTACAGCAATATGTCAGGTGACATCAGCGAGATGATGCAGGGAGATGTCAAAGATGCTGTAGAAATAATACTCGACCGATACCACGGAGTAACTTTATTGTACTGAAAATTATAATTTATACATTTTGCACGTGCACAATGTAGGGTGCGACGTTGCATATTGTCAGTTGCACAATAATGTAC